TGAAGAATATTTGCAAGATTTTCACGTTCGGGTGCACTTAAATATTTTTTTTGTTTAAAACGTCGTTCTAATTCATAGATTTGTCCTTGATTAAATAATATACGACGTTTACGTTTTTGTGATACAAATGGAAATTGTACATATGCTGATTTCATCATTGGATCTTGATGATGTCCATAAACACTTGCAGCTAAAGCTGCACTATCAACAGCTGTTGATGATCCAACTAAATATCGAGACACTAAAATAAATCAAAAAAAAAAAAAAAAAAAAGAAATTTGATCTTGTTTTTTAATTTTGAAAAAGAAAAATTCGCCCATACTTGCTGCTGATCCATACCAACATGGACTTGATGAATATTGTCCTGTTGAATTTCCACTATTTTGAAATGTACTACTATAATCATAATATTGATTATTTGGTGAAAATGTTGTTGCTGTTGTTGATGATGATGAACCATAATAACTATTATGTATTGATGATGGTCCAAATGTTGGACTAGAAAGATTTGTTGATGTTGTATGATTTGATGAAAGTTGTGTAGAATAAACTGATGATGATGATGATGATGAAGCAGCTAAGGCATGTGCCATTTCAATTGAACGTTTATAAGATGTTGCAGCATCAATATCAGATGGTTGAAGAATATCTGTTACACTAAATGGCATACCAGGATTGTTAGTTAAAGTTGAAGGAGGTACCATTGAAGGAGTCGAGCTTCGTTTTATTTGACTGAAAATTTAAAAATAAAACTTCTTTTTTTTTTTTAAGAATGAAAAATTTTTTCAATTATACTTAAAATAAAGTTTAATCATGTAGAAAATTTTTATCACGGTTCTTTTTTTTCTCTCTTATTCAACTGAAATGTAGTAAATATACGAGAAAATTTATTAATAATTGAATAAAATCATTCGATTTTATTAGATAAAAATCTATTGAATTAACATTTTTCACTCTTTATACAAAGTTTCAAATCAAAAATCAGTTTTCCTAAGCGACATTATATTTTTTAAAAAATACTGTAAAAGTGCAGTGTCGCTGTAGCAACAAGCTAAGAGTGCGAAATCGGGCCTACAAGATTTGACGACACCGGAACTCAAGTTTTATAATAAAATATCCTATAAATCAAATGAATGATAACATAATTCAAGAGAGATAAACCAAAAAAGTGTTTGTCGTCAACTAAATAAATAAAAATGCGTACTGAAGACTTATTCCAGAAGTGATACGAATAAGATCTACAATAGTTTTCTCTAGATTGGGACTAAAAGAAATCTTGGTAATTGTGAAGTTTCTCTCGTAAGCTGATACTTTTTGAATGTTAGCGTAGGAGAAAAGTTTTCATAGATATTACTATTAGGACTTGAAAAATTATAATTTGGAATCAAGTTCTTTTAAAAAAAAAAAGTAATCATTAGATACTTTTGAGATACTCATAATTATTCAAAATGATAAAATAAGTAAGACATGCGAGTACATACTTGTTAGTATAGTAAGAAAGAACGTCAATTTGTTCCTGTTTAGCCATGTCGAATAAAGTGAACAAAAAGTTTTTATTTTTTTATGAGTGGCTCATTCAATAGAATATGACGAGAAGTTCGTGCTTGATAATAAAAAAGATATGATGATGTTATATGCTTCTTTCTATTGTCGAGAAGTTAAAGTATGAGCTTTTATATTATTATTTATCGGTTTTTTTCCTCTTTTCTATAAGTACCATATATAAAAACAAAATCAGAAATAAAAAGAAGTTGGAAAAATAACAATTCTATATATATATATATAGATATATGTGAATGTATGTATGTATATTCACAAGTAGATATACAACACTTCAACTAGTGTACAAGAGATGATGATGATGTGTTGTTTTTAAGTTAGAGGAAAAAAAAAAGAAAAAGAAGCTTTTTATTTCGTCATTTGAAGTTGACGCACTCAACGATGTAGAAGTGTCTTCTATAATAATGATGATAATGAATATATAAGAAGTGCTTTTCTCGGCTGGTGTAGCGTCTTTTTTTTTTCTTGTCGTAAAGGATTATTAAATTCATAGAAGAGAAAACCATCGATTCTTGTTTTTTTTTTTTTTTTTTCTAGACTTTCCACCAATCAATATTCAATGAACGGTTAGATTCGATAAATTTCATTGGTAGGATTTATTTCCGAGAATAGAAGAAACTGAACAACAATGTACGGGTATATACAGTGTGATTAACATTCGGCATCATTCACTTATCAATTAAGAAAATTCAATTGAATCTATTCCGATAAAATGGCACATGTCGTAACTAAAAGAAAACTACATTCTAGAAACTTTTATTTAATTATAAATGTCAAATTTTCCGAGAATTCTTTTTTTTCTATTGAGAGTCAGTAAAAATATTATTATTTTTTTTTTGTAAGTTTGAAATATTTAATAAATTTTCTCATGTTACCTATGTTTGAATTCAATAGAAAACAAGAAATATAATACTTGTATTCTTTTTTCTAGTGAATAGTAAAGAGAATCAATTATTCTATACTTTCGAAAGTCTTGAAGATCGTATTTTTTCTTGAAAAAAACAAAAACAAATCATATCGAAAATCAATGTCAATTCATTTTTTTCCAAAGTCTTGAAATATTTCAAAAAAGAAATAAAAATCAATAAATTTTTGCAAACGATAATTAATTTCTTATCAATAAAATAAACAATAAAGATTTTACTTATCATCGATAATTTGTTGAGAATTACATATGCAAAAAGAAGCTTGTCTTTTTTTTTTTTTTCTTGACGTCATTTTTATCTTTATTAAACAAACACAATGTCTTATTTTAATTGGCACAACATGTTGTTGAGTTTTTTCACTCTCATTTATATATATATATATGCCTAGCAGTATGTGGCCATTGGGTCTAATTGTTTTTCACAAGAGCTAGTGAAAAATCAGTGCATCGTAAAATTTGATGATGACGTCAACGAAAAGCAAAAACCTGAAAATCATTGACTTATAAAAAATTATGTCGATATCTAATCTTATGCAAGTAACAAATGTTTATAATTGAACAGAAAGCAGCAGCAGCAGCATACATCTAAAAAAAATCTTATAAGATCGGAAGTGAAATTTCCGATAGACCACTAGCCAATCATGAGATGATGATAGAAAGAAAAAGAAATCGTCATCATCTAAACTTGCCCGATATATACACACGCACTATTTTGTCGAGTGGTACTTACTTGAAAAATTCCATAGGCGAATAGCTAATTACAATTTTTATTTATCAATTTTCATTTTTAATGATTAATTATTGAACAAAAAAACTTGTCATTTCTTTTATTTGTTTGTAAGAAATGAAAACATGTAAGTTTTTCTCTGATCTGTTGGATGCCACTTTTTCGATTTCTCGATCTCCCGTTGTGTATTTAGTATCGATCTAGACACGTGTATACAACAATTACATCACTCTATAGGACAACGAATTTATTTAATAAGTAGATACTTGAATGAATTGCTTTTTTTTTCCTGTATTCTTATATAACAAATGTTCGAATGAATAATCATAGAAAAAAAAAAAAAAAAAACCTATCTAACTAGCTTCAATTATCACTGTCTTGTCGTTTTTTAATGAAATAACACATATACAATTATGTATATATATATACATTGGCTCATATAGATATAAATCAGATCATCGAGTAAAATATTGCGTTAAAACATCAAACTATCCATATTGTTTGAATATACTTGCATAATCAATTTGTATATGAAAACTGTGAACAACTATATACGAAAATTTTTCAATGCTGATAATAATATAGATTGAGTATATATATATATGAAGTAGCATTAGAAGAAAAACGTATATTGTTGTTTGACTTTTCTTCTTTTTTTTTTTTTTGCTTTAATTTACTCGGTTGGTTGTGTTTTAAGTGGTTCTTTGTCTTTCGGGTATCATATTCTTTCTTTCTTTTGTGTCTAGTTTTGAAAATGATTGCCATAGGCAATAAAGGTAAAGCAAAAAAGAAAAATAAAACATTTGTATTTTTTAATGCCATTAAAGAGCAAAATGAACATATTATCAATTATGATTAACACGTGCTAACTATTACGTCAGAATCTTATGATTTATTTGAAAGGTCTTTTTTTTTCTTTATATTCTAAATATTGACACATGTGATGTATGTGAAGTGGTACGACATTTTTTTTCTCTTTTTTATATATTTAGTCGTTGTGCCAACATTTCAACCACTTATTGTCTCTATCCAGCTGCGTCCACTACTTGAAATTGACATTGAGAGAGTAGTTTCGTTTGGTCTTAGATGATGACAACAAGAATGATTGAATTTAACATGTAAAGGATTTATTCATATTCGACATCTGTATTATTCAAAATTAAATTATAATTGATTATTATTTCAATTAAATAAATGATAAGAACTTTTTTTTTCTTCAAATATTGATACTAGTAGCAGATTTAAACGAAAGATAGGTGATCAATTCCATTTACTATAAATCCTAGGAGATTCAGATAGTCTGCATTTGTATAGTGGCGATGGTACAACTTTAATCGGTTAAAGGGGAAGAGAGGAATAGGTGTCTAATCAATAAAAAGAGAAATATCTATATTTAAGTAATTGAGTTTGATAGCAAAGATCTCGATCGAAAAGTGATTTAACATCTGGAGAGATTCCCCCGCTGCTGCTTCCCACATGAGAAATTCATATTGATGGAAAAAATCTCGGGTTTAGACCCGCAGCTTTCTACTTTCATCTAGTTTTACCATCGAAATAAGTGTTAAACTTTTTTCTACTAGAAGACGATTGTCATTTGTTCATTTGATTGACATCTTTTATGAAAAATTTCCAATAAAATATAGATTCATATTTTTTTCTCAATCCTCGTTTTTTTTTTTTTCTTCTAAAAAAAACCAACTGGCCATATAAACACAATAAGAAGAATTGCACAACAGAAAAAAAAATAGAAGAAGTTTTGTTTTGTTTTTTTCATTTCTTCATCTATAATTATCGTGGTTCATGTTTAAGTAAATGATGATGATGATGTAAATGATGAAGTCGTTGATGTGTTTGTCCTGATACAGGTACTTGAGATTGAAACATGTTTGATTGCATTTGTTGTTGTTGTTGTTGATGATGATTATTATTATTTAAAGTTTGTTGTTGTTGTTGTTGTTGTTGTTGTTCATCACCACTATCACTACAATTCGTTCCAGATTTTTCTTTTGTTGCTTTTTTTGTTTTATATCGATGATTTTGAAACCAAATTTTAACTTGTGTTGATGTTAAACTTAATGAATGTGCTAATTGATCACGATCTTGTGAATTTAAATAACGATTTTTATCAAAACGTTTTTCAAGTTCCATAACTTGTTGTTGACTAAATAGAACACGTCGTTTACGTTTTGGTGCAAATGCAAATGGATGATATGGTGATTTTAATGGATCACCAATAGCTGTTCCTGATGGATACATATCATATTGTGATGATGTTTGACCAGTTAATAAACGTGACACTATTATACAATAAAATAATAATTTTAATAAAAATAAAAATAAAAAAAAAGATTTACTTGCAAATCTTGGATCCGTACAATGTGTTGGTTGATACCATGAATTTGTAATTGGTGTTGTTGTTGATGATGATGATGGATTTGTATTTATTGGTTGTTCTGTTTGTTGACAAAAATAATCTGAATAATTTCTAGCTTGACTTGAAAAATATGATGTAGCTGCATCTGAATAAAATTGATATGGTACACCAGTTGTTGAAAAATGACTTGCAAATGAATTTTGATCAAATGTTGAAAAAAATGGATCATATGTTGTTGAAGAATTTTCAGTTGATATTGGTAATGGTGTTGATCGTGATGGTGATGAATGATAGGATGACATAATAAGAAAGTTTTTGTTTCCTGAAACATCATGATGAGAATTTTTCTTTTTTTTTTTTTTTTTTTTTGGGATTGAATATGATCAAATGATTTTATTAGAAGTATGAATAAAAATGAGAAGAGATGAGGAGAAGAAGAAGAAGAAAAAAGAATGAAGAATTGGCCACTTACCGTATTCGTATGAGGCCGCACAGGATGAGAGATGCTCTGAGAAGGCTCTCAGAAAGCTTTCGAGATCGATTGAAGAGGTTCGACTCCACTCACAACCCAGACAAATATGTGCGTATGTATATGTGTTTCTTGTTCATTCTCACTCCTTTTTCTTTTTTTTTTTCGCATATACAAAAGAAGCCTCTTGTTTCTCTTCTTTTTTTTTTGTACTTTCACTATCGTTCTTATGTTTTCTATTGGTTGAAAAGAGAATTTACGTTTTATTGGTTAATAAGAAAAAGAGGAACACAAAAAAAAAAAAAAAATATGTATATAACTGAGAACGAGAGAGAAAATAGAATACTTATCATAGATTGTAAATCAACAAAACACATTGGTGACAATTAATCTTCTCATTTGATTGATTATTGCTGAGAGAGAAAAACACTTGAATTAAAAATCATAAAAAAATAAAATTAATTTTTATATAGAATATTTTTTTGTTCTTTTATATAATCATTTTTTTCTTGAAATAACACATGAAAATATTTTATATTTTTTAAAGAGAAATTTTAATTATACGTTTAGAATCTTTCTGACTTTTGCTTGTTTAAAACAAAAAAAAAAGAAAGAAAGAAAGAAAGCTTTATTACAGATATAGAATAGCTCGAGGACATATTTCAATCGGTCTTTTTGTTTCTATAGTGATATACCACTCGGATTTCCTTGCTATTTTGCTTTTTAAACAATATAGACATAATGGAAATAAACGGAAAAGGTATTGTTGAATGTTTATGCTAGGATGATATTGTGCTTCATAATAGATTTGAATTCAAAAGTATATATATATTTATTTTTTTTTGCTTTCAATATTGATATTTTTAACCATCTTTATTTAAATGAAAAGAATATGATGTTCATACGAAAAACAAATACTTGAATAGAAAAGTAAAGAGCACTCAGCTATATCAATATGCCTAGTCTGATCGAAAATATTATATGTACTCGACTAGGCATTTTTATATTCGATGAAAGAGACAAAAAAAAAAAAAAGATTCGTTTTTTTTTCTTCTGTACACAGCCGTAAAACGACAAACTACTCATCGTTTTATTGATGGTATATATATATATTCTATAGATCAAACGATATTTGAGTGTCAAAAAAAAAAAAATTAATCAAAACAATTTGTTTCTATTACGTTGGTTTAATATATTAGTTTGTTTATTAAATTAATGGAATTCTTCTAAATACATTTCATTTTAAACGACGCCATTTATGACTTTTCATTTGTTTTTTTTTTACTTCAATTAACTTCGTAGATGTTTTTTTTCTCTACACAATGGAAAGTATGTAATCAATAAAAAATAAATATATGATATCTTGAAAAAGTTTATTTTGAAATAATCTTTCATATAAAATTATCCACTAATATCATTATGAATTGATGTTGTTAGGAATTCTAGAGCATTTACTGAATTGAAATTACTTTGACACTTTCGAGGACGTTCCGAGTGAGGGAATGGGGTCACCCCAATCTCCGAAAATTGGGTTCTAGAAAATGCACACTTTCTTCCAATTTTGACCATTTCGGAACACTTGTTCGTATTAAAATTTGATTTTAAACTATGTTAATTTGTTGTATTTTGACTTTTCTTTTAGATATAAGATTAAATTTTTGAATCAAGTTTTATTATTTTATAACAATATTCAACGTCTTTTTATGTGCAGAAGAGTATTTCAATTTTGTCATTCAATTAGAAAAATAAATCAAAATTAGAACTTGAAATTCTGTATCCATTAATATAAAACGAATGGTTTTTTTAAAATATACAAGTTTAGAGAACATTACCAAAGAAAAGTCTGATTCCTTACTTGAAAAAATAATTTATTACAAATATTAAAACATAACTGATTTTATTTTTTAAAATATATATATTACAAAGTTCTACGAAAATCTACAGGATGTCTCTTAAAAGTTCGTGTAGATTATTTACACGAATATTTCTTATACAATTCAAACAATTCATTGCTTTTTGTTTTTTAAAGTAATATGATAGTATATTCTTTTAAGTCTTATCATCATTTTCGAAATGTTTTTATTTGTCTTATATACATCAGTTTTTATATTATATCTATCGATAAATCATTTAAATGAAAAAAGACTTTTACACTTTTTTAATATTGATATCAAAGTGAAATCATTTCAATTTGATTTTGTAAAATTATTCGACAAATTGTAACTCGTACGGCTCCATATTGGAAGATATTCAAACTGCTGTTGTTCATAGAATGAAGCAAGTTATTGTAACAACTTGAACACTCAATAGTGGCACATTTTCATAATCATCATGAACTTTTGTCTATAGTATATACAGCTAGTTAA